GATTTCACTGCATGTGTTTTGCATATGCAACCATGACCATTGAGCTACAACTATAGTGCTGTGGCCTTGTAAGTTTCATGCATCCTGCATGCACGGATGCTCCTTTGGGATGATGTGTTCCACTGCATGGTAGCAGCCGACGGCGGCTTTGCAAGGAGGACTTGCGCCACTGGCTAGCATGCTTCGTCGTGCAAAGCTTTTGCATGCCAGATCCCAGCTAAAAGGCAAAGCCAGTGCAGACAATGTGAATGAATCAGAAAAGGATGCTGGGCAGAAAGGTTCGAATAAACGACCACGTGTTCTCAGCCTGCGAGACTCGCCGCTTATGCGGCTGGCGGCCTCACAGGTGGGCCGAGGGGCAGCTGCATCCACCTTTGGTGATATGGCTTCTGCGGCCTGTGCTGAAGCTGGAACAAAACATGTTTCGGCGGGTGACTGGGCTGACAATGCATGTTGTTCTGTGTCAGTGGCTGTTTTTGAGACAAAGACTCATGCTTGCGATATCGAGGCACACGCTTTGCTGCTGGACTGGCCAGGGGCGAGAACAAACACAATGCTGAACGAGATATCATGGCTGCTCTGAGACGCAGCCATGGTGTGCCTTGGTGCAATGAATTATTTGCGACGCAAACTAATTATGGTGATTGCATGCAGAGCCTGTGCTGTTTCATAGAAGGTTCCTCTGCAATGCAAAATTTCTTATGTGGTGATTCCGACTGTGGAAATCCGACAAGTGCGGCTTTTGGCCGCAACGACGCGAGCTGCAGAGAACAAGGGGCGAGGCAAAGGCCGTGGACGTGGCCGAGCTGCTCGAGGTGGAAATATGAATTTCCTCAAGAGGAAAGGAGTGGCCGAGAAGGTCATTGTGTACAAGAAATGGCCCATGCTTCTGCCTTCCAACTTTGCACGTGCCTTCGCAGAGGCAGGTGCCGACGAGTGGATGATGCTTGTTTGCATTCGATACACATGTGTTTTAAGTTTTTGTGATGTTTACTTTATGTCCAGAGCTGAGGGGGCTGGACCGCGATTGGACCTCGTTCTGGGACAATGCGCGAAGTGAAATGTGGGGTGCGACACTCGACATGCATATGCAGTGCATGGAACTTTCTTTTTGCATGCACATATATATATATATATAGTCAGAACCCAAGCATTGTGCCTAGGCATCACCATGTGAACACAGAGTTCGATGCCTCCGCTCGCAAATCGGCTATTCCCATCCTCCTACATGGGGACGAGGGACAAGGGAAAAAGGAGAGGAATTTGCTGATCCTCAACTGGCATGTGATGGGTGTCCAAGCCAACTCCGTGCTGTTCCGGAAGTTCCCGATAGCGGCTCCCTGGCTGCAGACAGGAGTTAACTCGTTTCTGCTGCGGGCTAGGGTCCACAATACGTTTTGTGCCATATCCATCTGAGATCATCAGATCCGCCAACATGGCTTATTCGAGCTCTGGGAAGAACTTGACAATGGAAGCTTTGCAAGCAGCCGTGGTTCAGTCTTTAGCTGCAGTCGCTTACCCTGCTACTGCAGGGATTCGTGGTGATGCTACATTGCAATACTGCGCCGGGAAGGGAGATTGGAAATTTAAGAAGGAGTGGCTTTGCGAGAAGAAGGACTACTCGCATTTGTCGTTTTGCCGGCGATGCAAGTGCGGGCAAGGTCACGAGGAGCACTGGTTGGATTCATTGCATATGAGTTTCAACAAACCGGAGGAGGTTTCTGCAAACCTTCACGCGAATGTGCCAGATGACCTCCCGCTTCNNGAAGCTTGCCCAGCTGGCACATGGACATGGAAGCCTGCGACCTGCTGCATGTGCTGTGGCTTGGTGCAGCCAGGGACTCGATTGGATCGGTTCTTCTGGAGATCGTTACCTTCGATCCTCGCTTCCATGCATCCGTGAATTTCGATACGGCTCTGTCACAAGTGGCGACATTGGTGCAAGATTTCTGTTCTCAACATGGCCTCGACAGATCCATCGTCGAGGAACTCAGCTTGCAGAAGTTGCATGTGGACAGCATCCAGTACGATT